TTTACGATGTGAAAAGAGCCGGACAGGGAGGGGGAGGAGAGAGGGAGCGGTCCAGCGGCCACCACAGAGAGCACCCCTTGCCCGCCCCTGCGGACCGTCTATCTGTCTCTCTCACTCCATTCACGCTGCCCCACCGAGGTTTACCCGCGTACGTCATCGGGGGTGGGGGGTAGAGGGGGAAAGGATAGGGTTGAGTCCCGGCTCCATTTTCATCGCGTTTCCGTTTTTATCCCACTTTGTTTAATTTCCGCGCCCCAGCAGGGGATGGGGAGCGGGGTGGTGTGTCTGGCGCCCTGCAGCGCGCGCTCCGGGAGGCCGTGCACTCCGAGGGGTTAACACCGTTCACACCGCCGGGCTGGGCTCGAGTCGTCTCCAATTTGGACGTTATTTAGCGCGGAAGATCAGAGTCGTGGTGGTGCTCGCTGGTGTTGTCTCGGAGCATAGGGGGTCTCGGCTTCCACCACCACCACGGCCTCACCACAGCAGGAGAGCAGCATAAGAGCTCGAGGCTCGAGCAGGGTAGGAAAAGTAGGGATGCAAAAGGGGGAGGGGGGAGGAACTTAATCAAAAGTCATCTGAATGTTCCATAGCAGGGCAGGTGGGTGCGGGGGAGAGCAAGGACGCGCCGGGTTAGCCGCAAGAGAAACAAAACTGCCCTTCCCTTCCCCCCGCCCCCTCTGATATCCCCCCCATTCTCGTATCACAACACATGTTATTATTTTCCGACGTACTTGCGGGGGGCTGTGGTAGGGAGGGGCGCACCCCCCTCTCTCTTCCCCCCCCCCCCTCTCTCTCTTTCCCTCCGGTCGGTATTATTGTCGCCATTGCCGTGGCGCGCCGTGCTCGCTCCATGCTGCTGCTCCCTCCTCCTCATCTCCGAGGTTCGTTGTTCTGCGCTCTGTGTACGGAGATGAGCAGTACGACGGCCACCACTTCCTCCTCCTTCTCCTCCCCCGCCAAGCCGAAACCACGGGGACGAGAAGGAATGTCTCCAGTCGGTGCGCCCGCTTACTCGCTCCCCTTGCTCGCTCCTTGCTCGCGCTGCCACGCGCGCGCTATGGCTCGAGGCTCGGCTGGCAGAGGAGGAGGCATTCTCTGCTCGAGCATTCCGACAAAAGTTTTGCGCGGAAAGAACACGGGATGTAAGTGGCGTCGCTGCGGTGGTGTGCGCCTCCCCTACCCTCGGGGCGGGGCGGGGCCGCGGCGCGGGAGGCGTTCTGCTCCACCGCGCCCCGCTCTGATTGAAGCGCTGCGCAGAATGTTATTGAACCAAGTTCTGGTCCATTACCAGCCAAGACCGAAAGGCAAAAAGGGTGGGCGTGTAGGGTGTTGGGGCGTCCCCTGCTCCGGTCCAGCGTTCCCCCGGCCCGTCTCACGGCCGTTCCCGTGTTCAACCCTCTTGGACTCGTGTCGACCAGGCCCTCGGCAAGGGACGCCAGCCAGAGGGGTGCGACCGAGAGTTTCCGCACCCGCCCGGGACCGTCCGCTAACCTGACGTACGTCCGGCGGTGTTTGCGTCCCGATCCTCTCGCTCAAGCGTCCGCCAGGCCGCCCAGGGCCCTAACGCCACCACTCTCCCCCAGCTGGGTACACAACACGACAATGAGGCGCCATCAACAGCTGCAAATTTTAATTTGAATACCTCATCTCGTCCCGGTCACGCTACCACGGTCTCCCCCGACGCCCGCCGAGGCCCCGTCGTCCCAAGCAAGCGCAAGCTCAAAGGGGGGGGGGGCGGAAAGGGAAGGGGGTGACAGTATCCCAGACAGGCGGGGCAGGTTAGGTTGGAGCGACTATGAATATGCAGCAGAGAGGAGACAGGCGGGGGAAGGGCACTTCGTACTCGGCCGCGTAACGTTACGGTCCGCATTGCGCCAGGTGGCCGGGCGGGAGCGGGCTGGCAGCCCCCTTCCCCCCGCCCTCTGCCTCTCTTCTCGGCCCGACTATAAAAACGGAATGAGATACCTGTATTCAAATTGACGCGCGCTTTCGCAGCCCCCCTCCCCTCTCCACCCGTCATGTTTATGGTCCAGAGATGGGCTATGGGTACTCGGAATAGTCTTCCTATAGTCGTGGCGGCGGTAGCGGCCGTCGCGGCTTGTTCGCGGGGCGTTCAAAGGCGAGCGAGTACAACGGTGGAAAGGGAGGGGAGGGGGGGGCGAATGGCAGCTGCGACCTCAATGACCATCAATTTATTATTATTTCACATGCATCTCATATGAGCGCTGTTCGCGACCTACCGTCTGCCCTGCCGACCCACCCTGCGAACAGTCCGGCGCCAAAGACAGACGTTTTGCTTCCACAGTGTATAGTTCATTCGCTAAATGTAGACACACCGGCATCCCTCTAAACCCGAGGCCCCATTGTAAGCGTCATTACGATGCGTGGAGCCCGGTCCCCGGCCCCCGCCCGACCCCTAGCTAGACCTGCCAACATCTTTTCATAGGGAGAGCAGAGGCGGGCGAAGCAGGCGCGGGTGTCTTCGGCAACTCTAGGCCGAGGGATCGACCCTCGTAATGAGCGTAACCAGGCCGTTTATGAGGGCGACAAAGAAGGACCAGCGATTGTTTCGATTTCCTTTGCGTGCCGGTGTGTCTACATTTAGCGAATGAACTATACAGTACTCGTTAATACCCCGGCCTCAAAGGAAAAGAAAGACGAGCATGCCAACAAGTCAAAGCTGCACTTTTAAAAGTACATTCTGTTTTGTTTGAATGAAAACCGTTCTGACGACACATCAACATTGAAACGGATATAGAAACAATAGCCATGACACTTTCTAACGCGGTCTAACGTGCATCCAGTAAAAGCACAAAAGTACGATTTTACTTACACACGAATCCGTTCTGCATGCTGTTCTGGTACTCAGTGAAATATCCTCTTTACGAACTTGATGCCCAATTCAGACTGGCTGTTATGGCCCGGACAACCGGCAGGGAATGACCAACAGAACAGGAGCTGTTTGTTCCGCCCGACAGATAGCAGAACAAATGGGAGTTTAACCGTTAAACGAAATCCGCTTAAAACGAACGGACTCGAACGAAAAAGAGACACTCTGGCGGAGACTGTCCACAAGTCAATAATAAACTCTACGTAGGCGTTTCGTCAACAACAACATAATCTCTCCTCTAACCCGATGTTGACAGTTGACTACATGGGGCGTGTGTGTGTCGCCCCGGCTAACCTCACTCACCTTTTAGCGGGGCGGCGTAGCGTCGGCGGGCAGCTTCTAGACGCCCCATGTCCGGGTGAGGTCGAGAGAGAGAAGGATCACTTGTCGCAGACTTGGACACTCACTCACTCGCACATGTCACTTCACTCAACGTCACTCGCGGAGGTCACGGAACGCACACGCGTCTGACACGATTGTTGACGGTACACGCGTGTCGGCGGCGAGTTGGGAGTTGACGCCGGTCGGGTCGGAGCGCGCGCGCGTGCTTCTCGCTGCCGGTGTGTGTCGCCGGCGGCGTGTTGCTCCTGCTGCCCGTGCGTGCGTTCGGCTTGGCGTCCGAGAGACGACTGGCGCG